TTAAAAAAATTTTTTTTTAATTTTGCTTCTTCCATTTCTATCCACTGTTTTCTATTTTAATTTTACCTTCATTCTGTGGTTTCTTCTAAATCTTTACTGATTTCTATCCCTTCACATGTCATCCCTTTATGTCCTGTCACTTAGTCTGCATTTCATCCTTTGTGTGTTTTCCATCAGTGAGGTGGTGCTAACGTCATTAAGTAATTTAAATTCACAGTCAGAATTTTAAAATAAGTTTCACACTTATTCTGTAACACTTTTCTGGTGCATGTTCTTACTGAACAAATGAGTATATTTTGTTGCTCTTTTCCTACATTTTAATTTTAGTTATCTTCACATGAATATCCTTTTATTACTCATCAGTGAATGAGGTGGGCTATTCCTAAAAGCAGCGATTTCCATGAGATTCCTTTCACTTGGGCGTGGGAGTGTGGGGAGACTGCTCTGGTTTCAGCTAGTTATTTTTCACCGTCCAAATGCTCCCTTCTTTCAGGTGGCACAGAAACAGAATGCCCACTGCAAGGAAGGCCATCTGGGTGCCTGCATGCGTGGGGCCCTACCTCCACAATCTACCTTGGAACCATATTAAGTCCGGGAAAGACTCTGCAAATAGCCCCTGCTCACCTAAGTTTCTGCACATACAGTTGCTTACAAGGAATGTACTTTTGTATGTCACAGACGCTTCAGTTACTGTATTTTTTCCCCAGAGCTTTAAAAGTTAACTCTAGTGCTACTTAAAAACAAACAAACAAACAAACAAAAAAAACACTTGAAAAACAAAGATAATGTATTAAATTTGTAAAGTTCAGTATCTAATGTTGGCAACAATGTGGAGAAAATGGGAACACATTTCATGAGGATATAAACAGATACAGTGACTGGAAATCAGAATTTAATCTCCACATTTAATTTGACCCAGTAACGCTACTTCCAGAAATGTATTCCAGAGAAATGTTTGCGAAGGGGCTCAATGATAAAGATTCACTGCAGTATTTATTACAGTGATAAATGGAAATAATTTAAGTGTTCATTAATGGAGGCACCATTAATTATGGCACCAACACTTCTGAGAACATCACACAGTAAAGGAATAGGAATACAGTCTCTTTTTCTGGTTTTTCGTTTTTCTGATCTCCTAAGAGGACATGTCTGAACACGTGGTCTTTGTACCAGGTCTATTCTCTATACTCACTGTTGATGGGCTCTCTTCCACTCTCACGGTGTTAGAAACATGTATCTGCCAAAACTTAATCACCAGCATAGACCTCTATCTTCAATTCTAGGGCTGTATCTACTTCAGAATTTTATATCCAACTATACATTTGATATCTCCACTTGGCTGTGTCTAACCACCTGGAGATCACAAGAGTAAAATATTTAGAACTAAACTTAAAAAGTTTTTTCTCTCGGAGTACCTGGGTGGCTCAGTTGGTTAAGTGTCTGACTTCGGCTCAGGTCATGATCTCACGGTTTGTGAGTTCAAACCCCGCGTCAGGCCCTGTGCTGACAGCTCAGAGCCTGGAACCTGCTTCAGATTCTGTGTCTCCCTCTATCTCTGCCCCTCCCCTGCTTACGCTCTGTCTCTGTCTCTCAATAATAAATAAACATTAAAAAAATTTTTTTAAAGAAAAGTTTTTTCTCTCCTATTCCCATAGGCTTCCTTACTTCAGAAAGAATAATTCCTTATCTGCAGTCGCTCAGGCAAAACCTCCTGGCCGGACTTCTCCCTTTCTGTCAGAAAATTCTGTCAGCTGTACCTTCAAGATACAACCAGAATCTGAACTCTTTTGAAGACTTTTACTACCTCCACAGTGGTCCATGCCTCTATGATAGTCTAAGGTTGTATTATTTCTCACTTGGTCTCCCTGCTTCCACTCTTACTTCCTTGCAGTTTATTCCCAGCACAGTAGCCAGAGCAGTTCTTGTAAAAAAAAGTCAAATCATGTCACTCCTATGCCTTAGACCTCTGATGGCTCTCAGTCTTACCCAGAATAAAATCCAAAGGACACTGAATGATCCACAAAGCCCTACATCATCTGGCCCTCAGTTATATCTCTGAACCATGCTGTGCAACTCTCCTTTCGTTCTAGGCTGGTTTCTCTTGCTGTTCCTTGTATATACCTAACATATAGATAGTCCTGACTTCGTGCAGTGTGTGAATCGTACGTATATATGTGTAACTACATTATACCAGCCTCCCACCAATGCAGTTCAAATTTGAGCTACCACTCACTATAATATTAACTGTGAGTAGTTATATAAACTTTAAGCAATTTTATGCAAACTTTGCTGCTGCCTCCTCAGTCCATAAATCACTATGTAACTAACAGATGTGCATCAGGATCTATGACCAATCACATCACTTCCTTCGAAATATGTCCATGACTGGTTACTGAATCTGTTATTCAGTTTATACGGACAGCAAAGTGTGGAGCTGTGCAGTCTCTTGTTTCCCAGAGACAAACCCAGGTGAAATTTTATAATAATGGATGACAGAGAGCAAAAACTGGCCAACACAGATAAAAATGCAGAGAAAAAAACAGTCATTCTGGAAGTGAAATTGGATGTGATTAGAAGATTTGAAACCAGGGGCGCCTGGGTGGCGCAGTCGGTTAAGCGTCCGACTTCAGCCAGGTCACGATCTCGCGGTCCGGGAGTTCGAGCCCCGCGTCGGGCTCTGGGCTGATGGCTCAGAGCCTGGAGCCTGTTTCCGATTCTGTGTCTCCCTCTCTCTCTGCCCCTTCCCCATTCATGCTCTGTCTCTCTCTGTCCCAAAAATAAATAAACGTTGAAAAAAAAAATTTTTTTAAAAAAAAAAAAGAAGATTTGAAACCAGCAACAGCAGAGAAGACAGGACGAGTGCTAGGCCTGTATGAAGATACGGCATGGACCACACAGACAGAATCCAATGAATTGGACTTTGACTTTACCGATAAAGATGGTAAAGTCGCTTATCATCTTTTAGTTTATTTATTTATTTATTTTTTAAAAAAAATTTTTTTTTTCAACGTTTATTTATTTTTGGGACAGAGAGAGAGACAGAGCATGAACGGGGGAGGGGCAGAGAGAGAGGGAGACACAGAATCGGAAACAGGCTCCAGGCTCTGAGCCAGCAGCCCAGAGCCCGACGCGGGGCTCGAACCCACGGACCGCGAGATCGTGACCTGGCTGAAGTCGGACGCTTAACCGACTGCGCCACCCAGGCGCCCCTCATCTTTTAGTTTAAATTGCACTGGGCACAGAAAGCCGCTGTGGCAAAATGTAGTATTGACTTCCACTTTGGACTGAGGACTATTCAATCCTATTCAGGTCTAAGTGGTAAAGTTAGCTGGCACAATGAACGAAAAAGGCCAATTTCAAGGAGAATGGGAAAAAAAAAAAAACCCCATGAAAACAAAACAACAAATCCTTTCCTGGCCAGTAAAGGCTGGTTTACTTCAAAGTTAAGTAATTAATTAACTTCAATTTAACGAATTAATGTTAAGCTATCTGATGAAGCTGCTAGCACAGTGAAAAGATTCTGCTTTGACATGTGCACTTGTACTCCACGTGTTAGTTACAGCAGAGGGTTTTGATGAAAAGGATGAAGATATCCCTAGAAGTGAGGCTGGCAAAAAATTTCACGTTAAACGAACTCTTGGAGACAATTTGTCAACACTGAAAAGATACAGGATACAATGTTAGAAGCAGACCGAAACTCAGAAAGGAGTATGACAATTCACCAACACATGGAAAGACTGTCGCTCTGCGTCAAGTTACACAATGTGAAGGCGGTAAGCGCTGTTCAAACTACTCTTGATTAGTTTTTAGAAGACACTTTAGTTCTCAATGTTTCTCATGTTTAAATTACAGTGTACCAAGTAAGTGTTAGTTTTACTACTTTTTTCACTTCCTTATATATAACTGACAATGAGAGAGTTTTGAGTATTTTCAGTGTTTTTAAAGATCCTAGAGTAAGCACAATCCCACCCCCTACAATTATGATTATTTTTCACAGCTGCCCCTTGAATGGTTATTTGTACTTTTCTGCACTACTGCGTAAAGTAACGACCGCATGTCCTCCCACATAATTCCTGGCCCCGCTCTTTGCTCTGACTCATGCAGCTGGACATCAGGCAGCATGTGGTGCTTCCTTCCTGCCCTTCAACCTCTGCTCAGAGAAGGCTTTCTGGATGGTGTCACCTCTGCCTCCCATCGCTTTACGTTCCCTTCACACTGCCTCCTTTTCCTTCACGTATTTGTTTCTCTACACCCACTAGAAAATAAGCTTAAGGAGAATGGACACTTTGTCTTAGTCACTCTTCTATATTCCCAGATTCTAAAACAGTACCTGGCACATACAAGGCATTCATAATTTTCTTCTTGAATGAAGTTTTATGAAGTACATCTAAATACATTAACATGGCAAGCTGTTACTGACAGAAGTAAAAATGGCAAGATACAGAACATTCTAATCAGCAAGATTCTGTTTTTAAGACTCAATCTATCTACCTGTGTACACAGACAAAAGATGCAGAAAGATACTTAATACTGTTACCAATCAATATTAATTCTAGCTAGTGGGACTGGCAAGGTGGGTGGGGAACAGGACAATGATTTTAACTTTATACTTTAAATGTTCTTACATGCCTCTCTTTCCCAAAATAGTGTTACTGGTGGAATGAAGAACAAAGAAAGCAGCATGTATTAACTACTGACATGATGCCATTTTTGACAGCAACGATAACTGGGTGTTTACTATGAGGCAGGCTCTGTTCTAAACACTTTAAATGAATCATTTCATTTAAACACACAAGAATCCAATGAAGCAGATATTATAAGTATGGATATTTCATAAATAAGAATCAGAGAGGCTGAGAAATATGTCCAGGTCACACAGCTAGAATGTGGATATAAAAAGATGCACACAGGCAAATTATGTAAAATTTGTCACATGTTAGACTCTTTCCTCCTCAATTGTGTGCAGTTGGAACCAAGAGTGATAACATTTATGTGCTCACCCTGCAGGCCTAGGTGACCCAGATGTACTCCGCATAGAGCTTTCCACTCGAGGGCTAGCCACTTCAGGAGGCTGAGGAGGAATGAGGGTTTTCCGAACTGCCATTCTGAAAGAGACCAGACAAACCCAGAAAACAACAGTCCGAGGGCATTAAAGGATAAGAAGTAAATATTTGCTAGGCATAACTATGACAAAATAAAAACACTACATTTGCTAGGCATTTTTTAAAATGGTTTTTAAAATTTTATCCAAATACTATAGATATGTTATTGAAAATGCCAAATTGCACTAAAAAGCTTTTAACAAAACACAGGTCCCCTCCATCTCTCCCCATTTCTTGCCCATCTCTCTCCAGGAAGCAACCACTGTGACTCTTTCAGCTGCTGCTTCAACCACGCCACATCTCCTTTCTACTTATTATCAAACTTAACATCAGTATTAAGTGTTCCTCCCGATCACTGTTGTGTTTACATGTTTATGTTGACCTGAGAAAAAGTTCCTGGAAGTCAAGTGAAAGAAAGGTGACCAAGTTAGTGTCACTGTGCCATCCAGTAGAGGCCACGTGTGGCTCAGATGGGAACCAGCGGGCTCAGCAATGTGGAAGCTGTAAGTGTGACATGGGCAGTGTCGGCAGAGTGCTGGAAGCAAATGCCAGATGAGCGGGCTGAGAGAAAATGGCTTGAACCAGAATACACCATTTTGCAAAGCCTAATTAATGGATCCAGACAGTGATCACCAAGTCTGCTAACATCTCAAAATGGGGGACTACCAGACATTTTAATTTATAAACTGGTCTTGCCAAAAATAAAAAATAATAAAAAAAGAATCTATTCAAGCTTTAGATTCAAGTAACAAGAGACAACATGGCGGGGACAAGAAGAGCAAAACCAAACTACAGGGGTAGTGGGCTAAATTGATATCCAAGTCCTAATCCCTGTACCTGTGAATGTAATAGAGTCTTTGTGAGTGTAATTTAGTTAGAGATCTCAAGGTTAAGATCTTTCTGGTGTGGAGGGTAGACCCTAAATCCAATGACTGGTATCCTTATTACGGAAAGGAGAGATATTTGAGACAGAGAGACACAGGAAAGGTCATGTGAATACAGAAGAAGAGACTGGCGTGATATTCCCACAGCCAAAGGATTGCCAATAGCCACCAGAAGTTAGCAAGGAGGCATGGAATGGATTCTCCCTGGGTGCATATACAAGGGAACACCCTGCTGACATCCTGATTTTAGATTTCTAGCCATCAGAACTGTGAGGATAAGTTTTTTTTTAAAGATTTGATTTTTATTTATTTTTGAGAGAGAGAGAGAGAGAGAGAGAGAGAAAGAGACAGAAGGCACAAGTGAGTGAGGGACAGAGAGAAAGAGAGAGAGAAGTGGGGCTCAAGCTCACCCAAAGTAGGGCTCAAGCTTACCCGATGTGGGACTTGAATTCATGAACCGTGAGATCATGACCTGAGCTGAAGTCAGATGCTTAATGACTGAGCCTCCTAGGCGCCCTAAAAGATTTATTTTTAAGCAATCTCTACACTCAACATGGGGCTCGAACTCACAACCCTGAGATCAAGAGTTGCATGCTCCACCGACTGAGCCAGCCAGGCACCTCTGTGAGAATAAATTTCTGTTGTTTTAAGCCACCAGATTTGTGGTAATTTGTTATAGCAGTTCTAAGAAACACAAAGGGGATGTAACAGACAAAACCCTGGGAAAGACAGGGAAGGAGAGGAAAAAGTTTACAGGACAAAAGACCAAGTTTCTTCAACAAATAAATCGCAAGGAAAAAAGAGATGAAGGAAATCTATATATAGAAGAGCCTTAGGAGACATATCAACTAAATACAATGTGGGCACCTTATCAGAATACTGATTCAAATAAATTAAAACAAAAAAGTTGTGACCTCTGAGACCCCTAGAGATTTGAACTAGATATTTGATATTATGAGGTTATACTTTTTCATAAGTATCTCTCAATAGACATATGCCGAAATGTATACAAATGAGAAGATGTACTATTTAGGATTTGCTTCAAAATAATTTGGTAGAAGGGGGTGGGTAGGCATCTAGATTAAACATAATTGATTGGCTATGAGGTGATAAGCTGATAACTGAAATTGAATGATGGGTATAACATTCATATGTTCAAAATTTTATTACGTTTAGTTTCCCATAATAAAAAGTAAGACATAAGACCAATTCCACTAACTACCCCCGCAGAAAACGAAGAAAACAATTAAACATAGTGAGACACACCACTCTATATCCACAGACTAACCAAACTTAAAGAGTGTCAACAACAAGGGCCGGTGATGATAAATGCGATGACCCCCCCTCCCTCCCTGCCTGCTTGGAGCATACGCAGGTACCTACCAGAGTTGCACATAAAGCATAGCCTACAACCCAGCCAATCCCCTCCTAGGTATGTAACAAATACATTTAGCTATGTGTCAAAGGTCATGCACAAAAATGTTCAGGATAACATATGGCCCCAAACTGGAAACAACCCAAATATCCATGGATAAACTATGGTACTGTTATTTAATGGCATCTCACATAGCAATAAAAATACTACAATCACATACAATTAACGTGGATGAACTAAACAAAGGGAAGGAAGATGGAGTCATACAAAAACACGTAATAGATGATTCAACACAAATGCCACAAGAGGCAAAGCAAGTCAACAAGGTCAAAAGATAAACTGCTTAATTCCCTTTGGGAGAAAGTATTGGTAGTGTTCTGTTTCTTGCCTAGATAGTGGTTGCATGCTGTGTTCACTCGGTGCTAAATTACCCCATACCTGCATTATCTATGCAGTTTTCTATACCTCAGTGAAAACGTGGAGAGAGAAAGAAACTGCAAGAAAAAATGGAGTTAGCAAACTCCTTTATTTTCTTTGGAAATAGTAGCAAAAAAAACCCATGAGAGCATTTTTTTGCTTTCTATGTGAAGGAAACACCAGCGAGAACACACTGGTAAACAGGTGAGAGGGAAGAGAGCTACAGCACTGTTCTCAGCAGGTTAGAAAGGCAGAGGTCAGGGGCTCCAGAGCGAAGGGCTGAGAGTCTGTCCACAGTAAAAGATGAGATGAGTAGAGTGTGGGATACAGATGCCGGCAGGTAGGGAGATTGAAAGCTAGAGTTGACCAAGTTCTCTTTTGGGTGTTTCCATTTTTCTCAAAAAAGTAAGGATCAAGTTCATTAGCTGGTAGTGAACATGGGTAAGGAAGTATGGGAGTTCTGAGAGGAGCAGGGGGCAACTGTCCAGGAGAGTGGCTTAGGACAGGATCCTATGCTGGTCTTCAAGATCCTAGTGGAGGTCTCTGAGGTTAAGCAAGGCCAGTCAACACAGTTGTTTACCCCACCACAATCTGCTGCACAAATTCAGCAGAAAGTTGGATTTGACTCTGGTTTTGACAAAGTGAAGAGGGGTGCAAGGAAGTGGGGGCCATATGCAAGGAAGTGATTGCAGCAGACCCCAAAAACTGAGTCAAGGAGAGGAGAGAAAGGTCATGAAAGGGGGTAGCATCAATGGGTGGAAGACTCCCTGGTGGGTAGTGTGCTCAGCACTGCGGGTGAGGTGGGAAGACAGAAGGTAGGCTGTGGGACACCGGAGGACAGAAGAAAAGGTCAAGGAAGGCTTGTGCTTGTGGGTTTGTGCTGATGGATGGGGGAAGACGGAGAGGCATTTAAGCAACTGAGAAATCAGAGACCTGGGATATCATTTCAGACAGAATGACAGCCAGATGTTAGGTACCTTCTGAAGGACATACAAACATACCCCCAAATTGAACTGGAATCTGATCTTGAGCTGCTCTGACCAACAAGGTAGTCTCTGGCCATACGAGGCTACTAAGTACTTGGAATGATGGGCAAGTGCAACCAGGAGCAAAATTTGTACCGGTATTTCATTTAAATAATTTGAATTTAAAACTGATATTTGATTCAGTTATTAGAAAACTTTTCAGTGGGCCTGGAGTGACTTGGCTATGTGAAAGTATACTCTTCAAGTGCAAATTTTATGAAATCTGAATACGAACTGAGTGCTTTCGAAGAGGGATGGCTTGAAAGTGGCAGTGAGTCACCAAGAGGACATGGACCCCAGCATCAGGCCCAGTGACAGGAGGATCAGGAAGAGAGACAGCCATTACTTTGGGGAGAGTGCAGGAGTCGAGATCCTGAGGAAGAGCCAAGTTCCACTTAGAGAAGGCAGACACACTCAAAGAGGAAGGAATTCCGATGATGACAACTCAGCTATGGGGGCACAGCAGAAAGGTCACAGGGAGGCGGCCAAGTGGAGGAGAAGGGGACAGATCTTTTTGTCTCCAGGGTTGTGAGATTTCAACATGTTTATCTAAGTAACAGTTTAAAAAAAGTTTTTTTTAACGTTTATTCATTTTTTGATAGAGACAGAGAGTGAGTGGGTGAGGGGCAGAGAGAGAGGGAGACACAGAATCGGAAGCAGGCTCCAGACTCTGAACTGACAGCACAGAGCCCGACACGGGGCTTGAACTTATGGACCGTGAGATCATGACCTGAGCTGAAGTCGGACGCTTAACTGACTGAGCCACCCAGGCGCCCCTCTCAGTGCTGGTTTATTAACACGCACTGCATCTACTTATGCTGGGCATGTTGCGGTTCTTTAAATCAGGAAACTCATGCCCTTTAGGTTTGGAAATTTTCTAGGAGTTATTTAAGTGATCTTCCTTCTTTTCTCAGATCTCTCACTGAAACATTACTTGGAGGTGGGATCTCCTGAGCTGATTCTTTGATTTTCTTGTCTTTCCTCTTCTATCTTATTTTTGTGTTCTTATTTTTCAATCTACTTTTGAGAGATTTCCTCAACTATACTTTTTTTAAGTTTTTTTTTTAAGTTTATTTATTTTGAGAAAGAGAGAGAACAGGGGAAAGGAAGGGCAGAGAGAGAGAGGGAGTGACAGAATCCCAAGCAGGCTCTGCACTGTTAGCAGAGCTGGATGAGGGGCTCGAACTCACAAACCATGAGATCATGACCTGATCATGACCTGATAAGTCAGATGCTTAACTGACTGAGCCACCCAGGCACTCCTGTATTTTTTTTTTTTTTTTTTTTTTTTCAATTTTAAGTAGGCTCCACGCTCGGTGTGGAGCCCAAATGCAGGGCTCGAACTCACAACCCTGAGATCAAGACCTGAACTGAGATCAAGTCGGACCCTTAACGGACTGAGTCACCCAAGAGCTCCTCCTCAACTATATTTTCCAACTCCTCTGAGTTCAATTTCTGCTGTTGTAGTTTAAATTTCAGGACACACTCTTTTGTTCTCTAAATGTTCCTTTTTGATAGCACTGCCTTCTTGTTGCACAGATACATCTTTTTTTGTCCTTTGAAGACAGCATTCAGTTTTGGTCTTTATTTGCTTTCACTTTTTGTTTTTGTTCTCCTTGCCTTGCTTTATGCTCCAAGCTGCGTTTTTCAGTATGTCTAGTGGTTTGCCAGAAGGCCCTCAGAAACCTGCTTGGATGTGTGTTCATGATTAGGAACGGGGGACTAACGTTGGCTGGAAGCTCTGAGTTCATGGAAGAACTTGCCTACTTTAAATTTCACGTAAGGGGGATCTGATTCCTGACCTTAGGAAACCCCTAGTGCTGGTATCTGCATCTTTTCCCTTCGGCTGGACAAGCCCAGAAAGAAAGTGGAGTCAACATCTCACTTTTTGTCAACAGCGTTCAACTGCCAGGGTTCTGCCGGCTAAAAGGGAGAAGGGGACTGGTAAGTCTCAGCACTCTGCAAATCTGTTTCTGGTATAATACTCCTGGCCCCCCCTTGTGCTACTTGATCTCAGTGGACCATTTGCAGTGTTAAACTCTCCAGGTGCATGCTGGGGTTGGGAAGGGCAGTGCACTGCAAAGTATGGGTAGGGAAGGGGATGCAGGGCTCTGATCCTCTCAAACACATTTCAATCCTGCTTCTGTTTAACCCAGTCTTCTATTCTCTCATTCTTGTGTGTTTATATCTTTCTAAAAAGCCTCTTTGCTAAAAGTTCTATAGGGTTTTGAGAGGATAAGAAATTTAGAAGTGCATGTTCAACCTGCCATGTTAAGTACAAGCTTTGCCCTGCATTTTCATTGATAAGGCTCCTTTGCCACAGACTGATTTATCCTTAAAAGAGAGTCTGGTCTACGGAAAGCTCCACACGTCAGGAAACCCTGTATGGACCCAGCAGCTTATGTTCTCACTATGCTTTAACCTTTATAATCTTTTGTAGACACACATCAGCTCAGTGCAGCCACAGAAACTCTGCTCTATGAAGTGTGACTGCCCATCTCCCACCTCCCAAGTTTTCAAGTTAAGTTTCAGAGCACAGCACATACTTTCCTGCCCATCACCCACCAACTCAGGTTCTATGGCAACACAGTACACTTCTGCTGCTGAATAGGACCCTTACTTAACACACCTGGGAAACTGCTTGTCCTGAACAACAATGCATGCTGGCTGATGAGGAAACAAAAAAAAAACAAACGCAGTACACATTAATGTGCTTACCTAGACAAGCCTGAAGGGTCTGTTAGAAGCGACTTAGGGAGTCTAGGATTAAACTCCACAAAATAGAGAGAACTCCTAAAGTAGTATGCAATGGCTGTTTATAAACTAACCCTCCACAGACTCCTGGATTCTTACCGTCCCACAGTCTGGGCTTGGCAAGGCTCTACTGAACAAGCCTGGGGTGAGGTTATTTTGAAAGAGATTAAAAATGTCACAGAAGATGAGAGATTTAGAGTTTGCTACCAGCACAATAGAGAGCCTAATGTTTCTACCAATTACACTCAGAACTAGAGGTGTCATGTGGCACTACTGGGTCTACCTACCCATCTGTGGCGGGCTTCTTCCGGAGGATACTTGGCCGGGGGGACGAGCCCTGGGCCGGAGCATTGGTGCTAGCACTCTGGCTGTGGGTCTGCACCACAGTTGTTGCTGCTGGAGCGGCACTGAATGGACTGCTAATAGGGTTGGCTACAATTGTGGCTCCATCCGCCAATACCACTGCTGGAGGACAGGGAGAGGGCAGAAGAGAACAATGAAGAAAGGGAAACAAAAGCGAACATTACTAAAATGTCACATAAGGCAAAAACAATCAGACCACCAGAATTAGAGTACCCGTGTTATAACTGATCAATTTCAAGAAAGTAAGGTTTAGAGCACAATGTTCATCTGCCTGAAAGCAGATGGCAAAGTGGGAGGTTACTAAGTCTATTGATGCATGATCAGTAACAACTTCTCTTTGCTTTGGAATCATAATTACTAATGAATCAGATAAAATACATAAAGTACATAGTAGACTTCAAGAAATGGTCTCCTACAATTCTTGTGAAATACCATTGCCTCTCAACCCCTAAAAATGATACCAACATATCAGTCCACTTTAATTTTACAACTTTACATACAACTCGGAAGAAACAGCAGAATGAGAACACTGTGGAAAGATGAATCGGCTTTCTCAACTTTACAGAGTGCTTCCTAACATGTGCAAATGCATATTAGGCTGTTTGTATATATAGTTTCTAATGTTTACAATGACCCTGACAGATAAGTTCTAGGCAATGTTATAAGGAGGAAACTAAGGCACAGAGAAATTACTTGAAACCACCAAGCCAGCAAGAGGCAGAACCAGGATTTTAAACAATTTTTTTTAAAGTTTTTTTTTTTTTGAGAGAGACAGACAGACAGACACCAAGGGAGAGAGGGAGACAGAGAATCCCAAGCAGGCTCCACATTGTCAGCACAGAGCCTGATGCAAGGCTTGAACTTATGAACTGCAAGATCATGACCTGAGCTGAAACCAAGAGTTGGACACTTAACCAACTGAGCCACTGAGGTGCCCCAGAACCAGGATTTTAAACCCAGTATATCTCTTTCTTCCACACCAACCTCCCTGCAAAAAACTCAAATTACCTGAAGTCTTTCCTTCAGGCTGAGGCTGCTGAGTACCCATTGGAGCAGGCTGGAGTCCCTGTGTGCTGATTGGGGTTGCTGAGTGAATTCCCTGTGTGCCCATTGGTGCCGGCTGTATTCCTGGAGTCCCGATGGGGGCTGGCTGTATCCCCTGTGTACTGATAGGTGCTGGCTGGATCCCTTGGATATGTCGAGCATGAGAAGCATCCACGGTCATCAACTGCATGGGGTTTAGGTGGACTGTGGATGCCACCCCAACGCCAGTCTGGGCTGTGATGGCAGAGTTTGGAGCCTGAGCAGAAACTGAAAATGAGACAGAAAGTGACTATACGAATGTTAGCTCTGATTAGACATAGTCCACATAAAGAGAAAAACACTAAAATGAAAACAGAATTTTCCACTGTAAAATTTCTAAATCCTGTTTTTTTTTAAAGTTTATTTATTTAGTTTGAGAAAGCAAGAGCAAATGAGGGAGGGCCAGAGAGAGAGGGAGAGAGAGAATCCCAAGCAGGTAGGGAGCTCGATCCCACAAACCCTGAGAACATGACCTGAGCCTAAATCAAGAATCAGATGCTTAACTGACTAAGCCACTCAGATGCTCCCAAATTCTGTCGTTTTTTGTTTTTTTTAAAAGCACTTCATAAAGCTCTATATATTGGAGTTTCCCCCCTCATTTCCTATCAATTTGATTTGATCTTGCTGCAGGTAACCACTAGAAATAGCATTAAAAGCAGGAAAGGCAATCATCCATTAAGTTCCAAATGTGAGCTAGGGAACTGTGCTAAATAATTAAAATAAACCTTCTGAAATACATCTGTAGCTCCCAGGTCAAGAATCTTTGCTTTAATTGACAGAACCACCATCACAAGCATTTCTGATAGTAAGAACAAACTCTGTAACATAAAAATGAAAACAACAGCATTCCAGGAAACCACAGAGAAGGGATTTTTCATGTTTCGTGAAAAGAAAAATACAAAAGATGTTTCTTCTCTGGGGTGCCTGGGTGGCTCATGGATGAGCATCTGACTCTTGATTTTGGCTCAGGTAATGATCTCACGGTTCGTGAGTTCAAGCTCCACACTGGGTCAGCACAGAGCCTGCTTGGGATTCTCTCTCTCTCCCTCTCTCTGCCCCTCCTCCCCCCACATGCCCTCTCTGTCTCAAAATAAAACATAAAAAAAAGATGTTTCTTCTCAGTCATCAAAACAATCCCGAAAAAAATATATGCACCCCGTGTTCATTGAAACATTATTTATTATAGCCAAGATATAGAAACAACCCTAAGGTTCCACTGACAGATAAGTGGGTAAATAAAATGTGATATCTATATCTACACACACACACACACACACACACACACACACACACACACACACAATTATTTAGCCTTACAAGGAATGAAATCTTGCCATCTGTGACAACATGGGTGGACCCTGAGAATATTCAGCTAAGTGAAGTAAGTCAGACAAAAACAGAAAAAAACTCGCTATGATGTCACTTGCACGTGGAATCTAAAAACAAACAAAACCAAACCGAATTCACAGATATGAAGAACAGATTGGTGGTTGCCAGAGGCAGGGAATGTAGGGTGGGAGACATATGTGAAGGAGTCAAAAGTACAAACTTCCAGTTATAAAATAAATAAGTCACAAGGATGTAATGCACAGCATGGTGACTAGAGTCAATACTACGTTGTACACTGGAAGTTACTAGGAGGGTAGATCTTTAAGTTCTCCTCATAACAAACAATAATTTGTAATTATTTGAGGTGATGGATGTTAATTAATTAGACTTATTATGGTGCTCATTTCATAAATACACAAATATCAAATCATCAGGTGTTGTACACCTGAAACTAAGATAATGTCATGTCAATTACACACCAATTAAAAAAAGGAAACAATGCAATTTAAGTTCTATAAACCACAGACTGGTTAAAAGGAGATTATTATTATGAATGAGAAAATCACAGCAAAATGTTAGGACGTATAAATTTATAATCATTGCTATATTGCAATTCTTCCCTTGCTGTAAAAGAAAGAAGAAAAAATCAACACCCACCAAATTATTAGTTTCTTCTTGAGAAGTGAGTGAACCTTTGTTGTTTCTGTTCAGTGACGTTTGTGGTCTCCTGCCTGAACATGCAGTCCAGTCACCACCCCAACCCTTTCAAGGGCTGATCTCATTCCATGTGCAGCATCCTCACTCACACTACACTCCTGTCCACACCAAACCACTGTGTTCCGAGCGCATATTCTGTGCACTTTCTTCACAGACAGAAAAGTGCTTTCCCCCAGTCCCACCGTGGCTCTGTGCTACTCATTCTGAGAGATGCTTTCCAAATGTCACTTCTTTTAGGAAGTCACTCCTGACCTCTAAGCCTACCCTCTCAAAGTAGAAATAACCTTAGCTCAGAAGCAGCCTGGCTTTGCTCAAGCCTTTTTTGTTGGGATTAGCACATTCTCTCCAGTAATGGTTCTTCATGTCTTATCTCCCCATGTGGCTCTAAGCTTGATCAAAGTAAGGTGTTTAAGAGTCAACTTTAAAAATAGAGCCTAGGGGCGCCTGGGTGGCGCAGTCGGTTAAGCGTCCGACTTCAGCCAGGTCACGATCTCGCACTCCGTGAGTTCGAGCCCCGCGTCAGGCTCTGGGCTGATGGCTCAGAGCCTGGAGCCTGTTTCCGATTCTGTGTCTCCCTCTCTCTCTGCCCCTCCCCCGTTCATGCTCTGTCTCTCTCTGTCCCAAAAATAATAAACGTTTAAAAAAAAAAAAATTAAAAAAAAAAAAATAGAGCCTAGAATAGGACCTTACATACAACAATAGGGTTCAATAAATATTTGTGAAATTAACGCATGAATGAATAAATGAACGAAATGGAAAACATCTCTACAACAAGTGAAATTTCGGGAACAATTTGAGATGGATCAATTACTTACAGAGTATATAGATTATGTGTATATATTCATAATTACATATTTGTATCTACACCTAGTAACTAAATAACCAAAAAGATTCTATCTTTATACACAACCAGAGCCCACGAACTAGTCTAATCTATCATAAACTACGTATTACAGTAATCTCATATTTTGCAAGATCGGAGGCTATTATACACAAATTTTCCTGTTCTCTTCCTGATTTGGAAACATCTGCTTTATAATCATTTACAAAGGAGCCACTTGAAAACACGATATTGTAAGCTGGTTAATAAATCATTCCTTCGGCTGTGTCCACCCATGCAAAGATCCACATGTCTGAGAAATAATATATTACCCCTCCTCTGGACCAACAATGGCAGCACTGATACTGGAAGAAGTAAGTGCTGTTGACTGGACTACTCATTTTTCTGTGTTTGTATCCATCAGGAGTACTGCAGTGGTAAAAGAAGACACTTGGAAAAATAATAATGTAGAGAAACAGATGGTTGGCAGGATCCCCAATACTTCTGACAGTCCTTTTCTGATGGATGTTTACAAATAAACATTTATATAAAATGATAGTGTCTGCAGAGATGGTTCTAGCTCAAGAGGGATTCTGCATGCCCTTTACAGTTGGATAGCATTCAGAAAAATACATATTGGTCATGAGTTATCTTTTCCAGAAAGGCAACCATGACTGCACTGTTACAGAAGTATCAACTGGCTGAGGTAGATGAAAAAACTTTAAGTGTTGTTACTAATGGAGACTTAAGAATTCTCAGCATTAAATGTAACACACACACACACACACACACACACACACGTGAAGTTTACTTAACTGTCAACATGATTCTACCATACTTTTTGCATCCTACTTTTTTTTTAACGTTTGTTTTTCAGAGAGAGAGAGAGAGAGAGAGAGAGAAAGAGAAAGAGAGAAAGAACAAGCAGGGGAGGGGCAGAGAGAGAGAGGGAGACACAGAATCTGAAGCAGGCTCCAGGCTCCAAGCTATCAGCACAGAGCCTGATGTAGGGCTCAAACTCACGAACCATGGGATCATGACAGGAGCCAAAGTCAGACGCTTAACCGACTGAGCCACCCAGGCGCCCCTTGCATCCTATTGACATCAGGTAAACACGTTTTATCTTTATAGGACTGTTAATAAAGAATAGTTAGAAGTTTCTTTTGAACAGATGTTATTACTCTCTCTCCCTCTCTCTGCCCCTCCCTTGCTCGTGCTCTCTCTCAAGATAAATAAACGTTAAAAAAAAAGATGTTATTACTTTGATGTACAGCAAAATAGGACAGATAACTCAGAACATTTCATCAGCTACTTCCCCACATTAAAATAAGCCTTGGAGAAAGTTTTGTGGGGAAAGAAAAAAACAAACAGTAAAAAACCCAAAGCAGAGACTGAGGAACCTGTTTTCAAAGCTATTTAAATTAAACCTGAGAATCTGAAAGTTTTAGACCAATGTTGTCCAATGGGGATGTTAAGTCCATTGCAACTGTAAATTTTCTAGTAGCTACATTAGTAAAGTAAAAAGCAGGCCAAATTATTTTAATGATATATTTTGTTTAAACCAATATACCCCGAATATTACAATTTCAAAATATAATCACTATAAAATAATTAATAAGCTATTTTACATTCTCTTTCCATACTATGTTTTCAAAATTCAGGGTAAGTTTCACTTTTTAAAAAAAAATTTGTTTTTTAATCTTTATTTATTTTTGAGAGAGAGAGAAACAGAATACGAGCCGGGGGGAGGAACAGAGAGAGGGAGACACAGAATCTGAAGCAGGGTCCAGGCTCCGAGCTGTCAGCACAGAGCCCGATGAGGGGCTTGAACTCACGAACCATGAGATCATGACCTGAGCCGAAGTCAGACCCTTAACCGAGTGAGTCACCCAGGCGCCCCAGGTAAGTTTCACTTTTTAAACATTTTTTTAAATTAAAACATTTTTATTTTAGAGAGAGAGAGAGAGAGAGAGAGAGAGAGAGAGAAAGCGTGAGAGGGGTAGAGGGGCAAAGAGAGAATCTTAAGTAGGTTCCACGCTCAGTATAGAGCCCAACATGGGGCTTGATCCCATGACCCCAGGGATTATGACCTGAGCCAAAATCAAGAGCCAGACACTGAACTGAAGCCATCCAGGCACCCCAGGGTATGTTTTATTCTTAAAGCACATCTCAAATCAGATACTGACTTCAATTTTTATCAGGTAAGTTTTTATCAAAAATATTTCATTTGTATTTTGATTCAATATAATCTACAGTTTTGAAACAGTAGTTTCATGATCGCTAAATTGTTCCAAACATATTCAAAATTTCTCTAATTTTCATTAAGTAAAACAGAAAAAAAATCAGTTTTTCATTTGTGCTGGGTCCCCATTCAAGTGCTCAATGGCTCCATGTAGCCCTGGCTGCAGTCCCGGGTCACACAGTAGAAAGGCAACACCCACAGTCTGGTCTCTTATGCCTAAAGCAAGCTGAGGGTCTCATGAGAAAAGAAAACACAAACCCTGAGGATTAAGTATTATTTTTTCTGGATTAGCAAAAAGAACACTATTTACAAGTGAGGATGGTGAGTGTTGAGCATAACTGGACTGATATTACAAACACAACAGATATCCCACAAAACAACAGAAGCTCCATAAAAGTACAGCTTTTACCATTTTAACCATACTGCCATTTTAAGATAAACTGTTAACATAATTATCCTCAAGGTGGGACAAAACCATGCAAATATACTAATAAGCAGCAACTTTTTTATAGATCACACAGATGGGATCTAAAACCGTAAAGCCTGAGATTATCAACTTATCTGAATCTGAAAAGAGAAGGTGGAGTAAGAAAACCCATTCTAGAAATACTCACTGGGCAACTTTCACTTCATTGCTTACAAAAACTGGCAAGTTAAAAGTCCCCTAGCAGGGCTTGTACCTGGATACTGTCGGATGGTGGACACAGAGCTGGTGATTGGGGTGTACGTGTGCGCAGCCAGTGGGTATGCAGAAGGTGGGTATGTTGGCAAAAAGTACTGGAACTGAACGGGAACAGACGGTCTATAGGTGGAAGACAGATAATATGAGCCAAAATGGATCTATTTTCTTCTTCACTTTCAAATGATCCTATCCCCCAGATCATCTTCATACCCTTATATGCCATACCAACATTTCCCCAATTGTGTACCAAATAAACTGTCAGATCAAAGGACACACACCAAGAGAGTAAGATTTTTAAAAATACATGGGTACTATAAATAACCATTATCAACAAACATAAAAATGTACACAGAGTACTAATTACCAAACTGACTCAAAAGAAAAACTCACAATCAAAGGTTTGCTCAGCTCAATTCCATTTGAAAGACTCTTAAGTTCAGATTGTTTTTACTGGAAATCTTATCAAACACACATAATACAGATAACCTCAAACTTCTACAGACTGATTCAGAGATGAGAAAAAGAAGAAACGAGATCTAACTTACTTTTTTTTAGCTTAATGTAGTCCTGATACCAAAACTGGACAGGGAGAATAGTAGAAAAGATAAACAAATCTCGCTCTCTACATCAACACAAAAATTTCTAAATAAAACTCAATAGAGTACTATGTAAAATAAAATACATCATGATCAAATAAGGTTTATCACAGGAAGAATGACCCACTATCAGAATTTCTACTACTGTTTTAGATACTATTAAAAAATTAAGAGGACAGTCATTTGAAGTATCACAAAAGATACACAAAAAATATTTAATAGAAACTAAGATAACACTAAATGTTAACTAGAATAGAATTAAAAAAATACTCCCCCTCCAAATTTTAATCACATTCGATACTTATGATATAAATACCTAAAAAATAGGAATAGGAAAACACTTGGTTCCTCAACCTGAAAATAGCATCTACCAAAATCTATAATGAAATTTCACAAGAATTCCCATTCAGGTGAGGAATAAGTTAAGAATGTTCACTATCTATGCTCTATTCAACACCACATTGGAAGCTCTAGTTAACGAGAAAAAAATAGGTATGTGAAATGGAAACGAAAAAAATCCCTCATACACCTACATACGAAATCCAAGAGAATCTACCAGTTTTAGAGCTAACAGATGTGTTTAGCAAGGTGAATGGGACAGAAGACCAACATATTAAAACCTATAAGCATTCCTACACACAAGAACACACAGTCCTCAAACAAGAACACTTAAAAATGATCCAATTCTGAAATTACTTCATAAGCACTGTATGTACCAGCTTCTCACTGGGGAAGAAGAGATACAAATACGGAATGGCGGAAGAAATGGGGTTGAACTAGAAGTATCAACGTGTACTAAAGAATTTTTACAACATCATATACTTCCTACTTCTGTCTGCTAAAAGGGCCTATCATTACAATCCAGTAGCAATGAACAGAGCTACCACCTAGATCCAGATTTCTAAATGATGAAAAGGAGCCAGGTCTCCCTGGGGAAATGGGAGATGGCAGGGCTCAGACACTATTGAGGAGCGTGGAGTATCTTGTTACAGTGGAAAGTAACGAAGGGCTAGAATGAATGGGACATGACAAAACCCACAGGAACTGGTCTCAAGAAGCTCCCAGAGAAAATCTGAGCATCAAAACAGAGGACAGCAAAGGATTATAATAGTGAATAGACCAAATCCATGAGCGCATGCTGATTTAAAAAAATAAGATGCACAACAAAACAAATAAATGGGTGTAAATAAGAGAAAACTTATTTACCTAAGAATGTCAACTGACAAATGTGGAAGAAATGACTGTTAGAAAAAGTCACTTTTTTGCAACCATCATACTGCAAGCATCAAGTGATTCAGCCAAGCATCAACAGATGCTAACACCACTGAGACGAAGTTTACTGAGGAGCAGGGTATTTACAGTCTCAAAGTATTTCCACACGGATCAGTGGTTTACAAAGGAGAAAAATATACCTTTATGGAAAAATCTGGCAACCACCACCTTCATTACATAACCAGCATTGCCATGGCTAATGGTGAGACACAAGGGCGTCATAAGCTCTCTGCTGCGGTGACAGTGAGAAGAATGCATCACCTAAGTGCTATTTGCTCCAAAAATGCATAACCTGAATCTAATGATGAAAGTATCCAACAAGCCCAAACTGAAGAACGTTCTACAAAAACAAATGGCCTGTCCATAGTCTTAAAAAATGTCACTGAACGGGAATGGAAGACTAAAGAATCATTTTGGGTAATTGCACTGTGGTTATGAGAAGGTCTCTGTTCTTTGGGGCTGAAAAGGAAAGTACTTAGGGAGAAAGGGTCACGATGCTGCAATCCATACGGTCAGACTGCCTCAAAATAAATTAAACACAGAAACACACCAAACAAAAAAAGCAGATACTAGCAGAATATCTATCAAAAGAAGAATAGCTAAATAAACACAGCACATTTTCACAAAATGAAAAAATAAATTGTACAACATATTATTTTCAGGAGCAAATTTGAAAATAAGTGTATATATACTATATTGTGAGACATTTTGTTACTGAAAAATCAAACCAACTAATGACACAATGGGGCAGTGTAACCAGCACATTCCCTCCTACCTATTGTCACTTCGGGTTTCCATGGCCACAGGATTTGGAGAGGCCCGATGACCTGAAATGGGAATCAGGCTACTCCTCTCCGCAGGGTAATCAGGCTGGATCCGAGGAGAAGTGTGTGTGATCTGCTGAGGCACCACCTTAGCTACAAATGCAAAATCCAATCACATTACCTCTCATATGCTTTTATTGGCATGCCAAAACATTCTTGGCCAGCAACAATCTTAAGAATGCAAACAGTAATAAGAAGCCTGGCTTTTTAGTTTTCATAATAAAAGGAGTACATAAAATTCAACTGAATTATTTCAATCCAATACTCCACTGATACATTCATATATTTATTTGTCAAACAGGGTTCAACATCATCAGTACTTTAACAAAAATACCAGTAATCAGGTCCTTTCCCCTAGACCTGGCTTCTTGGAGGCCTTTTTTTTAAAAGGAGAAAAAATTTTAATTAGGAAAAAAAAAAATCAACAAAATTTTGAATACAGACATGGCAAAGATCTTAGCTTCTACTTAGCAGAGAGAGAGGGAGGGAGAGACAAACAGAATCCCATGCAGGCTCTGCACTAACAACACAGAGCCTTGATGTGGGGCTTGAACTCACAAACCGTGAGATCGTGACCTGAGCCAAAACCAAGAGTCAGATGCTCAAATGACTGAGCCACCCAAGCGCCCTGATAATCACTTTATTTCTTAGGTCCTCTGAACATCCTGTGATTTTACATAATGCTTCTGTTTTAGAAAGAAATGCATAATGCTCTCTTTTTTGTGAGAGACAGCGCGCACATGTGAGAGAGAGAGGGAGAGAGAGCGAGCGAGCGAAGAGCAGAAAAAGAGGGAGAGACAGAATCCCAAGCAAGCTCCATGCTGTCAGTATAGAGCCTGACTCGGGGCTCAAACTCACGAACCATGAGATCATGACCTGAGCCAAGACTAAGTTGGATGCTTAGTTGACTGAGCCACCCAGGCGCCCCTCCATAATGCTTTACAGCAAAATCAAGATGACTACATACGGTTTTCAAATCTAATGTGAGGCTCAAAGTTTGCTCTCCTCTAGTATTTGCAATCAAGTTTTGTTTAGAAGGTACAGCTGAACTGGGACCTACTTTAGTGTTCTTACAGACCTGTTAACTCTATGTGAGGGAATTTGGAAAGGAGAGCTGCAGGCTACATCAGAGAGACAGAAGGACAGCTACCATCCGTGTAAGACCCAAGTCACAGCAGTGACTGGCACATAAACACTGGTGACGAGGATGATGCCACTACATTAGCCAAAGTGCAGTGCACTGAACACCGACAGTAAGCAGCACAAACCCACCATGATCCCCAGCTATTTCCCAAGGGAGGCAGCTGGAGAAATTTCTGCAGGAGGATACTGGAAAGCCCAGTTCAACCACTGATGATGACATCTAATGGCTAATGAACGGAGAAGCTGGCATGACACATCTTCCACTGGTGGTAAGGAGGGGGGAGCAACCAAGCCTTGTTTTCCCACTGTGCCCATAAAAGGTAGGAGAAAAGAATGCTTCGAATAGGAATGCAGTTGTCATTAGGAGAGCAGCTAACCACTAGTTGGTAAACCATACACACACCCATAAATTTATTGCTGTACCTTTGTTTCTAATTAAAAAAAGCTACAGGGGCCCCTGGGAGGCTTAGTTGGTTAGGGTTCATCTTTGGCTCAGGTCATGATTTCACAGTTCATGGGTTTGAGTGCTGCATTGGGCTCTGTGCTGACAGCTCAGAGCCTGAGGCCTGCTTCAGATTCTGTGTCTCCATTCCTCTCTGCCCCTCCCCCCCCACTCTCTCTCAAAAATAAACGAAACATTCAAAAAATTAAAATAAGCCACATATTCTCAATTATCTAAAAACCAAAACACAACACAACAAAACAAAAAAACACCCAAACACTTCAGGAAAAACATAATGCAAAAATCATAAGTTGAACATAATGCCACCTCCAAAGAGAATCCCTGGTTTTCTGAATGCTGTGATCATCCGATTCTGCTTTTTATAATTCCAACACCTCTGTCATATGTAGGCCAGAGCATGGAGAAAATAAAGACAGTATTCTACTGGAAATGAGCACTCCTTAAAGGCAGAAACTATGCTCATGGTTAATTAGGCTTTTTTCCCCCTGACTCAACACATTTCTATTAGTAAAAATGGTTGAATTCAGTATTTAATCTCACCTGGAGAAAGCAAGTGTGACTTGGAAAAAGCTGCTTAAGTGATTTTAATATATCCCCTAAAACCCTACTTGAAAAGCAATGCTGTAGGGTTAATATCAGGTTTCCTTTCTCAACTGAGGTACCTCTGCACAGGGATCATCTAGTAATGTAACAGGAAAGTATTTGGCTTACCGTAAATAAGGAAAAGAAAACTAGAATATGAGCCTAGTGGGACTTAGATGAAATCAGTCACATTAAGTAGCAGATGTTAAATCTGGACACTTCTGTCAAATGATTTTATCTAGAATTTATGAAATGGCTAGAAATCAAAGATTAAACAGCTGGGAGATGTAGAATACTGCCCTGTAACTTAAGACAGGTAAAAAGTTAATTGTTTTAGCCAAATGAATGCACATATTTCTTTCTCCTGGTACTCTGAGTTTACTTCCACAGTGTGACCGCTTGGGAAGATACAGTGACATTAACAGGACCTAATCTCTAAATAACTCTTTACAGAGAGGATTCAAGATGAAACCAGAGAGCCCCTATAGGGCACACTGTTCTCTCTTTACTGGTCTAACTTTCTTCGTAGCTATAGATATGCTAGTGAGGCTCTTGACTATAAAGATGGCAAGAATAAACCTGGATCTGTTGTTACAGTGCTGAGGAGACACAATCAGAAAATGGTGTGAGGTGACAATATGGAATAAGCAACGTTCTTTTCCAATAAAAGTGTATCAATGCTAAAATCATACCCTCCGAAGTTCTTTTCAAAGGAGGGAATTAAATTCAGAGGGGTGTGAAAGAAGTATGGTCTCTCCAACGCCAAGATGCAGTGAGCGGTAACGTGAGAAAAAGGCAGTAGCAGTTTTTTTTCACTGCTAAAAGCCTACTGTGGGACTTACTACCAAGTTAAGGACTGGCGTGGCCAAATTATCTAAGGGAGGGGGAAGGACTTCCTGGGTCCCACCATCATTCCGGAAAAGTGTCCTCCAAGTTTTCCCAGAGGAATGTGAAGCTGTCTGACGTGGGAAGGAAGAAAGGAAGGAAGCACAGAGGGAAGGAACACTGGAATGTAGCAGTAGGGAAGCCATTCTTCCGTGTTTGCTCACCAGACTTCTGCCAGGTAAGTATGTCAGTGTGTCATCTCACAGAAAGCACTCTTCCAAAAGTTTATGAAAAACATGGCAGCTGTCCCATGTCTCTGGGAATAAACACTAAAATGACATGCTTAATTTCATACAACCAAATCAAAGCTAACCCTGGAAACTAAACCTGGGGCTTGTGAATTAAACAGAGCAGTGCTCTGCCTCACAGGTCAGTCTCCGCTTTGGAAGCTGTGACGGTGAGACCTCAGCCCCCAGGACAGGTGTTGGCAGCCTGTGGGCAACTCCCGCCTGATGCTGGTTCTGTATGGCCCATGGGCTGTACATGGGTTCATACTTTGTCATGGTGGGGTGGGGAGGGCAGAAATCAAAAGAAGAACATTTCATGACACATGAAAATTATATGAAATCCAAATTTCTGTGCCCATAAAAAGACTGAACTATAGTCACACTCATTTGTTTACATATTATCCACAACTCAGCAGTTGTGACACAGACCTATGAAGCTTACAAAGCCTAAAATATTTATAATCTGGCGCTACACAGAAAGATGCTCGATCCCTGCTCTTAATGATTAAAGTTTGGCTGCCAGAAATGTTTCAAAGATTTTTTCTTCTTTTTTAAAAATTTCTTTAATGCTTATTTTTGAGAGAAAGTGAGAAAGAGCATGAGCGGGAGAGGGACAGAGAAAGAGGGAGACACAGAATCTGAAGCAGGCTCCAGGCTCCAAGCTGTTAGCAGAGAGCCTAATGCGGAGCTCGAACCCACAAATCATGAGACTGTGACCTGACCCAAAGTCAGACGCTTAACTGACTAAGCCACCCAGGTGTCCCACATAGATTTGCTTCTTAATATTCAAGGCATATACAAATTTAAAAGGGGAACAAAGCTTAGAAGAAATTTTATGACGATTGTGAAGTATCTTGAGGTAGCAGTCAGATGAGAACCTAAGGTAATCAACTTGAGGGTTATCACCCTTCCTGCTGTGCATCATCCAGAGATTTTTCCTAAACAATCCAGCCGTGTACAAGTTCTCTTCATTCCAGATCCGTGCTTCTTTCCTGTTTTTCCTGTGAATTTTGTCTATGTCTGTGAAGTTAACTTATTTCTTAATAGGTACACACAGAAGAGGTAAAGTCTGATGAATAAGTCAAAGCTGTGTTAAAATAATGTTTACTTTGAGCTCTCAAACATTATTATCCTCTTTTCCCCCCTTACTCTCAATGCCAAATCTGTATGACAAAGACATTTAAGAGTTAAATTCAGCATTGCCTTGAAAATCAACAACAATAATTAGAAAAAAAAACAAAAACCCTACCAATACTAGCCTTGTATATGAAGACCTGGTCAGAGGGGCAGAAAAATCCCTTTCAAGCTCTGTGTGAAGGTTGCAGGACACTTACCGACTGGGATGTTTGAGGTGGTCACAGCGGTAGCATGGGACGAATGTGAGGGCATTGTCATGGTAACAATTGTACTTGTGGGAGCTTGTGTGTGTGACACAGAGCCTGAAATTGGAGAAAAAAAACCTTTTCAACAATGATCTCTTTACACACACTACAGATTCTCCAAAACCTGACAAAAGGTCTTAGGAAAAGATAAGAAAATTCTTCTAGCCTATTCGTTTCCTCTGACTGAAGCTGAGACATGAAAAATTAACTCAACACTTAAGACTCACACTTCCCTAGCAGGAGAGCAGGGCTGCCAACTTACCGGCTGTAGTCGCTGAAGGAATGGTGTTGGTTGCCAAAATAGGTGCTACTGTGGCCGCAGCCACTGGTGTACCGGTGCTGAAGATAGTTTTCTGGCGGGGGGAGATCCACAACACAGTTATAAACAAGAACAGCTCAACCTCAATGCAGTTAAAAGCAATTGCTGCCTTCCATACTGCGAGGTTCTTATCAAGTTTTGCACAACTCTGGTTTTAACCCACAGCCTACATGGGTGGTTTTGCCTCTGGTTTTACCTGAGCCATGGTGTGAAGCTGCTGTTTTGGCGTCCCTAATGCAGGATGAGATGGCAGTGTGATTCTTGTAGTTACATCCCGTGACTGGGCAGGACGCTGAATGCTAATTGCTGCAGAAGGTGGATGCTGGATAGACAAAGTTGGCCGACTGAAAAGGGAAGAAAAGACATCGTGACTTCTAACTTGCCTCTAGACTCGATGCAGGCAGTCAAGGCCATTTACTTTTTTTTTTTTTTTAATGTTATTTTTGAGAGAGAGACAGTGTGAGCAGGGGAAGGGCAGAGAAAGAGAGGGAGACACAGAATCCGAAGCAAGCTTCAGGCTCTGAGCTGTCAGCACAGAGCCCAATGTGGGGCTGGAACTCATGAATCGCCAGATCATGACCTGAGCCAAAGTTGGATGCCCAATTGACTGAGCCACCCAGGAGACTCCATTTACTATCTTGTACTAGACCACTGTCATACAGTTGTATTTTTTGTAGGTCTGTAAAGTGTACAGATGAACCTAGGACATAAATGGCCTGTTAAGTTTCTCTCCTGAAAGTCCCATAAACCTCATTTCCAAAGGTATCAATATGCACCATGAACCAAATCAATTAATTCTTAGTCCTTCTCAGTACTCTCAGTGTAGCTAATCAACACTCTAGGACAATCTTAGGTAAGCATTATTATAATCAATACACGTCACTCTGCGGACAAAACTGGAGATACACACTAAGGTTTTTACATTACGAGGGAGGATTACAGACAACCTCAATTAACAGCAGCCTATGTCAGGGCCCTTGAAGCACTGACCTGCTCCCAATTTTGTATTATTCCTTTCCATGTCATTCTTAAAGTGTTAGTTATGAGTGCCTAATGATGAAAGGGATATCCACACAGAGAGCAGGTCAAATTAACTAGCAATAAGCTAGTGAAATTCCAACAGTGGCAGGAGAACTTGACATTATAACAAAGTTGGCATCTCAAGTCAGAGGGGGAAGAATGGACTACTTGATAATAAATGATGTTGGGAAGACTAGGTAGCCATTTGGAAAAAATAAAATTGGATCCCTGCTTCACGCATTACACCAGGATACATAGGAAAAGGATCAAAGATTTTACAAGAAATTTAAAAAAAGCATGTGAAAAAAAAAAGAATTCTTTCATAACTTTGGAGTGGAAGAGAGTTTTTTAACTACTAGAAGCTTTGAAAATCCAAAACTTATAAAAAGATCAATAAATTTTACTCTGTGAATAAGCAAACCTACATAGAGCAAAACATACTATAAACATAGTCAAAAGACTCATAAATGAAAGTGTAATCTTAATATACTAAGATCTCCTTGTAGTCAATGAGAAAAATAATTCCCCAAAAGAAAACAAGCAAGGGATACGCATAGCCAGTTCCATTTCACTAACAGAAAATGCAAACGGCCTCTTAATAAAGAAAAGATGCTCGCCCCCACTCATAGGAAGAGAAATACAATTTAAAATACACTGAGACATCACTGTTCACCTATCAGAATGGCCAAAAAAAAATCCCCCAAATGGACAGCATAGGAAACAAGGTGCAAGGAAACAGACACTTCTTTTTTTTTTCAATATATGAAGTTTATTGTCAAATTGGTTTCCATACAACACCCAGTGCTCATACCGAAAGGTGCCCTCCTCAATACCCATCACCCACCCTCCCCACCCTCCCACTCTCCATCAACCCTCAGTTTGTTCTCATTTTTTAAGAGTCTTATGCTTTGCCTTTCCCACTCTAACCTTTTTTCCTACCCTTCCCCATGGGTTTCTGTTACTAGATCCATATAAGAGGAAAACATAGGTATTCAGTTTGCATGGCTGTTTCACTTAGAGCATACTCTAGTTCCATCCACACAAAGGTCATATCATTCTTTCTCATTGCCACGAGTACTCCATTGTGTATATAAACCACAATTTCTTTATCCATTCATCAGTTGATGGACATGAAATTTTCCCATAATTTGGCTATTGTTGAGAGTGCCATAAATATTGGGGCACGAGTCTCCTATGCATCAGCACTCTGAATCTCTTGTACTCCCAGTGCTACTGCTAGTCATAGGGTAGGTCTATTAATTTTTTGAGGAACTCCACACTGTTTCCTGAGTGGCTAAGCAATTCAGTTTGCATTCCCACCAACAGTACAAGAGGGTTCCCTCGCTTCCACATCCTCCAGCATCTATAGTCTCCTGATTTGTTCATTTTTGGCCACTCTGACTGGCGAGGTGATATTCCATAGTGTGGTTTTGATTTGTATTTCCCGATGATGACGTTGAGCATCTTTTCATGTGCCTGGAAACAGACACTTCTAAACATTCTGGATGGAGTATAAACTGGTATAAACCCTAAGGAAGGCAATTAGTAGATATCAAAATTATAACTGTATATAATTGCTGATTACTTTTGGGAATCTATCTATACTTTGGGAATATAGATATTCTTGCACACGTTATTGACTGCAGTATTACTTATGATAGGAAAAGTATTGGAAACAACCTCAAACCCATACATACATACAATGGCTCACTATACTGCTACTAAGAGAACAATGAAACGGTCTATGAATGTGGGAAACTTTCGATGTATATTCCTATATGAAAAGAAAGCAAAGAGAATCTATGAGTTAATTTTTGGTTAAAAAGGACAGAAGTAAGAACTGTATGTGAATCTGACTATATACATTTTATTTACATATTTATTTTTTGGGAGAGCGCAAGCGGGGAGGGGCAGAGAGAGGGGGCAGAGGATCTGAAGCAGGCTTTGCACTGATAGGCTGACAGCAGCGAGCCTGATGTGGGGCTTGAACTCCTGAACTGGGAGATCATGACCTGAGCCAAAGTCGGTTGCTCAACCAACTGAGCTACCCAGGTGCCCCTGAATCTGACCATATTTAAGAAACCCTGGGAGGATAGCCAGTAAGTTATTATCAGGTAATTTAGAAAAGCAAAGGGAAAGGAACATAGGATCTTGGTGGACAGGGGACAGATGAGAGAACAACACTCCTTACTACACATCTTTTTTTATGCTTTTATATTATGAAAACATGTGACTACAAATTAAAAAGAAGTTGGTTAGTTGAGCTGTAAGGGTAGACTTGATTGGGACTGTATATATCTAAAAAAATATTTTTTAATGTTTATTTATTTTTGAAAGAGAGAGAAAGAGACAGACAGAACATGAGCAGGGGAGGGACAGAGAGGGAGACACAGAATCCAAAGCAGATTCCAGGCTCTGAGCTGTCAGCACAGCTGGGGCTTGAACTCATGAATTGTGAGATTATGACCTGAGCTGAAGTCAGACACTCAACCAACTGAGCCAGCCAGGCGCCCCAGGACTGCATGTATCTAAACTAAGCAATGGTTAATTTCATCATAAGGATCTTGTCTCAAAATTCTTAAAAAACAGACATGGGGGATATTAATGTATATAAAGTGTTAAAACTGAATGAAGGATGGTTTTCTTTCTGAAAAGAAAACTAAATGCCTATCATTCGAGTTTAAAGGAAAGCTGAAAAGACTGGCCACAAACACAACTACGCAACTTGGTAGAACTCACTGAAGAGAAAGCCTACTACCGGAGACTGGATTTTCATGTTTGGATTTTTGTTTTTTCCAGGATGAGCCATTTCCCCAAACCCATTCCCTATGTTCACCCAAGATGTAAAGGACCCCAAAAGATTTCCTCTTAAGTGACTCTCATGTTCTCAAGCCAGAAAAAAAAAAACTAGAAACATAAAAACCTGGATAGCCCTGAAAAGTCTTTTGGTTATTCATTTCAAGCCTTTATTATACCTCTTCTGTTAGTCATCTAAAAAAGGGTGGGAATGAGAAATGAATGTTCTCTTGATAATTTAAATGACCACTTTGAGATTTTGTTTCCGTTTCATTTTCTCTCTCCATTATTATGGTAGAATCCAATTTTTTTTATAAGTCATAGAGCCCAAAAGTTATATCCAGAAACACAAAGAAGAAAAATACAAGCTGTGCCTATTTCACAGCCTGGTTAGTCACCACCGGAGAAATGGCACGCTGGTGGGAATATCGGACTAGATTAGCACATACATGGTAGACCAATTCTGACCAGGATGTAGAGATCCACACTGCGCAAGATACCACATTGCGAACCGAAGTACTTCTGTGGGTCCTAACATTACTGACGATGACCATTTGGACCCACTGTCCTGAGGGTCCAAATGCGGGCTGCAGGGTCAGATGTTTGGTACAATCTCTGCTGAATCTGCCTAAAGATATTATTCTTGATGCAGCAAGTGGAGACTCAGTCCTTGCTCAAATTAACAGGATTCTGAACACCACTGGTCCAGTGAATGAACAGTAATTACGACTTTGTTTTACAGCCTGGATTCTTCCCTACGTGGCTTTCACACCCTCTTCGAAGGTGACTTTAGAATAACCTGAGAAGAGCAGATATTTGGGGACACAGACCACCTGCATAAACTTGTTGCTCCAGCTATCAGGATGTCTCTGCAGCTTTATCAGGTAAAAATCCATTTTGGAGACTGGATTTTTTAATGTTTACTTTTGAGAGAGAGGGGTGAGAAGGGGCAAAGAAGGAAGGAGACACAGAATCCAAAGCAGGCTCCAGGCTCTGAGCTGTCAGCTTAGAGCCTAATGTGGGGCTTAAACTCACATGACCTGAGCCGAAGTTAGACACTTAACGGAGTGAGCCACCCAGGCGCCCTGGAGACTGGAATTTTAATAGTTGACAACATAATGTGCTGAATACAGCATCACATAAGATACTTGCTCCTAGCATTTATAATGAAAACCATTCAGAGAGATACATGTATATATAATTAAAATAAGGACAAATTTTAGGATGGATGAACTTAATTATAAAAGTAATTCTGAAAAACCTCATAACAAAGAATAACGCCAACATTTGGATAACTGGGAAAGGGTCTCCTCAATTCACCTTGAATGCACTGACATTTAAGAGGTCCAGCACATGCAAAAAATACCCAAAAAAGAATATCTGTATTAAGGATTCAAATATGGTTTTAAGTGGTTTTGAAAGCACAGACTATAGTGTATAGTAATCTTTGACTTTTCGTGTACTCTTAATAAAAAACGATAAATATTAACATTTCTATAACATATATTACATGCTAGGCATATTCTAA